ACATGTCCGTTTTCATTTAAATTTGCACTTCCCCTCCCAAAAACACAGTAAGATAAACACCGCATTGCTTATCACACGCTCTCCACGAGTGCACTTCCCGTCACGCATCCCGACGGTAGCGCCACCTGAGCTAGGCGTGGTTGAACAGTGCCGCCCTCTGTTTGAACTCGGCCTTGCGCTCGCGCCGCTCCTGCTCCTGTCGCTGGCGCTCCTCCTCCTCGCGGCGGATCTCCTCCAGGAAGTTCTTGTCGCGCTCCAGCTCCGAGATCTGTCGAGGAACAGGGCAGGTACAGCTCGGCGGAAGCGTCCGGCCGCAGCTGTCCAGCGACACCGGGCTCACACCGCGCGCAGATGGGTAACACTGACACACCAACGAACAGATGAGTGATACTGACTCGCCGACGATCTGACTGTGAACCGGCTGCTGTACAGACCAAAACGCAGCACATGAGAACTCAAAATGTTTCATAACGTATCTTTCCAGGCAAAATCATGTTGTTACTCAGTACGAGAGCATGATGAAAACGGGCGCCAGCCCACCGACCGGTGCTGGCCCTCCAACTGGTGCCGGCACTCCGACCGGTAGTGGTCCTGCGACCAGCGGTGGCCCTCCAACCGGCACCAGCTATCCCACCAGTGTTGACTCTTTGAACGGCGCCGGACCTCCGACCGGCACCAGCTATCCCACAGGCGTTGATCCTTTGAACAGCGTGGGCCCTTTGAACGGCGCCGGCCCTCCAACCGGCGCTCGCCACCGCGCGGACGCACCTTGGCCTGGAAGAACTGCTTGGCGCCAGCCACGCCCACTTCGTCGACGTCGATCTCGGTGAGCTTAGCCAGCTGACTGAGGCCCGAGTCAGCCGTCAGTTCGCCGGCCGCCGCCCGGCGGAACACTGTCAGAAACTGCCGGCCGGCAGGGAACGTTAGCCGCTCAGACAGGCTGGTGCGACAGTTCGTGTCATGGGTCTCGGGATATCACCCGTGGCTGTCAAGAGGAGGAGGGAGACCCCATGAATTAGACGGATTGTTGCTTGACCGCAAAGCCACCGCCGAGGGCAGAGCCAACAGATATCACACATACCATCACAAAGCAACGGCTCTGTGAAGAACAGCTCACTCAACAGGCAAAGGCTGAGGCGGCGGTCACGGGCGTCCAGAAATTACCCACAGCTGTCAAGAGGGGTTCCCTTGAATCAGTCTGAATGCTGCTAGGCCACAAAATTTGCGCCGAGGACAAAGCGAGCAAGTATCTAGCACAACGCTCGATGCTTGCTACTTAGCAAAAGGGGCCTCAAAGCCGTGCCCAGCGTCGGGAAGTTCTAATACCGTTTGAGCTGTCCATTGCTGGAAAACGTCGTTACCACCAGAGGTATCGTCGGGCGCTTGATTATAAGGGCGGAGGCTGATCTTACCGCTCTGAAGCCGATCTTAGTGACGTTCTCGTCCTCATTGGCCTCGCGGATCATCTGCTTCAGGCCGATGTGCGTCTGCGGCGCTCCCAACTTCTCCATCATCTTCTTCAGCTCCTCCAAGTCCAGGAAGCCATCGTTTCCCTCGTCGTATCTGTGGGACATCAGAGGCTTCTGGTGAGAAGACTGACGAGTTCACGCTTCTCTTTCTGACACTGTGGCGGCGTCGCATCTCATGTGCCACTGTTGTACAAAATGCCACCTAAATGTCGCTCGCGAACATAGCTAAATGCACACTCCAGATCCGACCACAACTTGTCCACATGTTCCAGATCGACGATCCATATAATCTTTCGGCAAAATTAAAAAAAAACATGTGAATACCGCCGCGCGGAAACAGCAGGAAACATCAAGTTGACGTAAAGCAAAGCACGCTGGCAAAAAGTCGTAAACGCCGACACCAACTCATCTCAAGAACCGTTATCTTTTTCTTGCCGATGATCGTTCTCATGGATCGCTCGCGCCAAATACTACTGTTCCATCTAACGCTTAATGGAAGCAACTAGCTTCGGAAAACACCATCCGACGAAAGGTTCCACCTTAGGTGTTTCATGTGCCTTCAATTGCCTCACATCTCCCGGTGGTCCTGCCACAGGTGACAACGACATGCGTCTTTAAGCGAGTGGATTCAATCTGCCATCACAAGCACCCGACCTCGGCCGCCGACAAATCCAGCGCAGTTCCCCCGAGACGTATCCGACGCACTGCTGGTAAGGACTGTTCTCGGCGGCCGTCCCCCAGCGGGCGCTGCCCCCTGCCGAGACGACGCACACAGCTGCGGGGTCGCATCGGAGTGCCGCTCGGCCCCGACACGGGGGGTCGGACAGCGGCAGCGCCGTGGCAGGTGCGCCGCTCAACACCGGCCCCGCGCGCCCGTATATTCCTGGAGGCGATGCCGGCCCCCGGGTCCGGTGTCGGGTCTCCGCATGCGCGTGCTCCCGGCCGCCCGCCGAGCGGCCCTTCTCTCAGCCGTCCAGCCGAGCCGAGCGGCCACACCTCCCGGCAACGCGGCCGCGCAGTCTTCCGGTGAGAAAGGAACCGATCCCATCCGGTGTGAATGGATGCCCGCCGCTGACGAGCGAGCCTGGGGGAGGGAAGGTCAGTGCCGCGCCGGCGGTGACGACCGACGCTGACTGACCAGGCCGAAGACCCGATACGGCTGTCCGCTCCCAGCCTAAAGCGCCAAGCCGCGGCGTCAACACTGCCGACCACATACGACCACGGATGTTTATGCTATCAATGTTTGCGCACCGATACGGCGAACATCACCGATGCCCGTGCGTCGAGCGGCCTGCGACGTCACCGCCGAAGCCGGTGATCCGGCGCTGAGGCTGGCACGGCTCGCCCCGACTTCACCGGCAGGTGCACCGGAGCGGCGTGAACCGGCGCTGAGGCTGGCTCGCCCCGACTTCACCGGAAGGTACACCGGAGTGGCGTGATTCGGCACTGAGGCTGGCACAGCTCGCCCCGACTTCACCGGAAGGTGCACCGGAGCGGCGTGATCCAGCGCTGAGGCTGGCACGGCACCCCTTCACCGGAAGGTACACCGGGGCGGCATGATCCAGCACTGAGGCTGGCACAGCTCGCCCCGGCTTCACCGGGAGGTACGCCGGAGCGGCATGATCCAGCACTGAGGCTGGCGCGGCTCGCCCCAGCCTCACCGGAAGGTGCACCGGAGCGGCGTGACCCGGCGCCGACGCTGGCTCGCCCCGGCTTCACCGGGAGAGCAGAAGTGCTGACGTTTCGGTAAGGCGCGCGCCGCTGAACCGAGCAATTGTGTGTGTTCTCCGCGCGTGCTTCAGTGACTGCAGGTGCGTCACCGCGAGATGGGGATCAGCCCACATGACGTGAGAGTACTGGGCCCCATTGTCCAGGGCTGAACATCATCGAAAGATGGATGACCGACGATCTGCCAAACACACCCCATTGCCCTGATTATAAATTTGCAAGCTGTCCTTTTTAGGAAAAATCTGTCGGAGCACTGCAAAAAAATTCGCTGCAGCGATCGCTGCGAAGTACGACCACTACTGAGGGCACTCTTCTGCGTTCTCTGACGTGACCCGTGAAATGAAGGTCACGAGTGAGAAGCATCCCACCCGCCCGTGTTTTGCCTCACGTACCTCCTTGTGTACAGACACGCCACTAAATGTTTGTGCGCGCACACACTTCCGCGACGATCCGTACACGCTGCATACAGCTGTATCCTCACACAAACACTCCAGCCACGTCCCACGTCCCGATCCGTCGGGCTCCGAGGCCGTCGCCGCTTCTGTGAAGGTGTTAGCAGCGGAGACGTGTCATGTCGCAGTCGCCCGGACGAGGTTAGCTTGCCCAGCTGGCATGAAGCCGCGGCGCTATCGACTGTGCTGACTGCGATGCTTCGAAGACGGACAGGGCCACCCCGTCATCGCCGCAGAATCCGGCACTGCAGGGCAGCCAACTGAAAATGTGGTGACTTTATTTTGACATGTCCCTCAGCGGGGACATGCATCCGAGCAAACCGAGTCAGATGATCTGCAAGACACCGACGACAACCGGCAAGACGGGGTGCGTCCTCAATCCTACACCGGTCCGCGGGTCCCCGCTGACCTAGCAAAGTTCCCTGCTGATCGGCGGCCAGTGACCCGAGGCCGCCGTCGTCGGCGCGGCGTGCGGCCGGGCCGGCCGGGTGTCGGGCCGGCACCGGACGAGGCACCGATAGCGGCCCCGGTCCAGCGGCCGACGGCCGGCGGCCGGCGACCGAGCCATGATCCGCTGTCGGCCCGACCCTACCGAAGTCTGACGCCATTCCTGTCTGACCGGCTTGTATGTGGGGGGTGCGAGCCAAAAAACCGGAAAGGTTGGCTGGCACCGAAACATTACCTGCCTTATGCGTTCAACACAGGTCGATATTTCCTGGTTGCGACTACGTGCCGACATTCCCAGATAAGGCGCCCGCTCCAGTACCGCCGATACTGATTTAGGACCGGCTGCAAGTACTGTCGAATCACAAGTTTTCATGCTGCGGTCCCGGACGGACCGCCAGGGCTTCCCAGGCTGCGGCCCGGATGGCAAGATATTAATCGAGAGGACCCGTTTGGGAATCCATGGTGGCGGGATGTGTGCAACTCCAAACGTCGAGATATCCGAGCACTCGGCCGATGCCAGCTTAGTGCCGAACGCCTGCTTCTGGGCTGCGGCCGGCACGCATCAGCAGCCGGCGGCCGCGACCTGACCCTGACACCGCTGCCGAGACGGGCACCACAGGCTCGGCCGTGCGCGACGCTGACACCGCTGCCGGGACGGGCGACACAGGCTCGGCCGTGCCCGATACTGGCGCCGCTGCCGAGACGGGCGCCACAGGTTCGACCGCGCCTAACGCTGACATTGCTGCCGAGACGGACGCCACAGGTTCGGCCGCGTCGCTCGTCAGAGCACATCCGCCGGCGGCGCCCGAGGCCGGGGCGCCAGAGGCCGGGGCGTCAGCCGTGCCTGACGCCGCCGCCTGGCGCCACCGCACCCGTGCCGACAGTGGCGGGGATGGGATCGCAGTTGAGCCGCCCGCCGGGGCGGGCACCGCCCAATGCCAGACAACCTGCTCGGCTCGATCGCTGGAGCGACCTCAAACCCAGCTCAGCCCAGCCCAGCCCAAGCCCCAGCCCAGCCCAGTCCGGCCCGGCCGGCCCCTGGCTTCGGCCCGGCCCGGCTCGACCCGGCCCGGCCCGGGCGCCGCGCCGGCCGGCTCAGTTCGGCTCATCATTCAGCGTTTCCAGTCGGTCACCAGACTTGCGGGGGGAACAGGGCAGAACGCTGGCTGGGCGGGGTCGCGTCTCCGCTCTGGCCGAGGACTCCGCGGGCGAGCGGCTGAACGCGTCAACAACGAGCGTGAGGGCTACCACACGTCAGACGTCGCCGCCGCCGCCGCATCATCGTCCTTCTCATGAGCAGGTACAAATGATTCGTGGCTCCGCCTCGCTGAGTCCCTCCGGTAAGGTCGTGCAAGCACGAAACATGCCTTTTTCCATTCTTTAAAAGAGTTCTGCGCGTCACCACTGCACCGCAACACTCACAGGCGACCCCGGTATGAGGAAGGCCCCCTACCCCGCCGGCAGTGGCTGTCATGACCCGGTCACGGGCAGGGGCCATGACCCCGCCAGAGCACACCCCGCGCTCCGGAACGGCTTCAGGGCCTTCAGTGGCGCTCGCAGGCAGATGCGGCGGATCACAGCGCCGCTGTGTGCGCCGCGTTCGGTTACTGACACAGAACGGGCAGCGGGAACTGCAGAGGAAGGGGGACAGCCATGGGAGTTGACTGGCGCCTGGTTACACCCGTTGGTCTGTCTCGACAGAGTCCCTTGTCGTCAGTGCTCAGGCCCAGTTACCGACAGACTCAGTCCAGCTTTAACAGCATGTGTAATGGTATTACTTAGAAGAACATAAAAGTGCCTTTGCTGCTCTATACCACGAAGCCGAAAGAAGAACAAAAACTGGGCCGTGTTTACAGCAACCCGACTTAGAGAGCCCAGGTGGCATACCAGTGCAGAGCGCATGATAACTTAACAGAGCGCGAACCACTTTAAGGTGGACCCGCTTCTAATGCTCTACAGCAATGCACATTTTTACCTCCCTAGTAAGGGATTGTACTGCAGCTGGAAACCCGCCCAGATTCCTTGCTAAAAGAGGACCGAAAAATCCGACTCATTTCAGCACCTTCTTTCCTTGGTACGCCACCGCACGATCCAAGCTCGCCGACGCATTCACTTTTCACCCGCAAGCTCCGAAAAGTCGCGTCCACGATTGCCCACAGCACCCACCGGTGGAGCGTGTCACCCCTCCCCCTGAGCCCGTCCCCCGTGACGAGCCAGCATTACCACACACCACCGGGCGGACGGGACGACACCAGGTCCTGGCCCCGCGCTGAGGTGGCGGCACCGGACCGGCACACCGCCAGTCACCCGCTACCATCAGATAGCGGGTGACTGGTGACTGGTGACGGTGACGGTGACGGTGACGGTGACGATGACGGTGACGGTGACGGTAACAGTGACTGGTGATTATGACGGTGACGGTGACAGTGACGGGTACGGCGACGATGACGATGACAGTGACAGTGAC